ATTGTGCCTGGCATATAATAAAGCCTGAAGAAGTGTTTACCAATTAAATGAAAGAAGGATGTTTCCCCTAAAGAAATGGAAGCATTTACAATTGTTCACCAGTATCTCATCCCTGGAGCAGTGATTAGATGCTGTGCTAAGAACAGATGTAAACTATTCCTCCTGCATCCTTCCCATGCACCCTTCCTGAACCCTGGTGACAGCAAGGGTCATGTCCAGGTAAACAGTACTGTGACCCCCAGTAGACTGCATACCATTGACATTTGCCCCAGCCCTAATGGAAGGTGCCCCAAAGCTTGAACTTCCTTAGCCTGTAAACCACCAAGAGCTTCTAGTTCAGGTTTGTCTATTAAAAGCATCACTTCTCAGGTTTGCAGCAGGTGGTCTCTTCAAACTACTTCCCCTGTAGAGTGGAAATGGATAACTCAGCAGGAAGCAGCCTCTGTCGCTTAGATGTGTGGAACCCCACTTACAGCCCAATTATTTTACCAGTTGTTGTTAAAGCTGTGCAATGTCCATAATGAGCAAATAGGAATAGGACGCTGCTGTCCCCATTAGTGCCACTAAGGACTACATATGCATTTGCACTGTCAGGAGCCACCACGGTCATAACAGTAACAAGTACGTTACATTTACAAAATGCTTCATGTCAAATCTCATTTTGATTCTAGAAACCACTTTGTGTGAGGAATCTTATGATTTGCAGACAAGTAAACTGAGGCTGAGTGATATCCCAAAGCCCCTCTCGTAGAGAAGGACAGGATTCAGGTTTAGAGCTGCCCCGTAGCTTACAGTTCTGAACCCCGCTCCCTCTGCTCACTGATTCCTCTGGTAACTGACAACCATGAGTCAGCTGGATGAGCTCCTAACTGTGGAGGGGAATGCCACCCGCCAGCTGACTTGGGGGAGGACATGCCCATGGCTTCATGCTGTAGTCTAACCCACTGAGCTTATGGTTTCCTTCTCGCAGACACAAGGCTGGCCATCTGAGCTTTGAAGATGTGAGAAGTTGGGGAGCTTAAATCAAGGCAGATTAATCCTACTGCATTAAACAACCCCAGTCCCCTCATAGGAGGCAATGCCTCCTTTTCTGTGTGAATGATAGGGTAGATTTGCATTCTGGGTCTCCTTGTGCACCCTTGACAAATTGCAAGGGAAGCAAGTATACAGTAGAGCCCCCTCTCATGTGTAGGGTGTGGTGTTCACACTCTGGCATTTGTTCCACCCAAATGTCCATCAGTGGCTCAAAGCTTTGAGGTGATACTGATGGATGAGGTCACTAATATCCTGAAAATGACAGCAGTTTTGGAATTGGGCATAATTCTCCTGACCTCCTAATCACTGTGGATTTGTGAGAGGACCCAAAGGGACATTTAGTGGTTACCCTGCAGGTGAGCACTTCCATCCTGATGCTAAGTGTCCCAAACTATGGCCATCTGTGGCTCTTTACTTGGTACAGAAAGGAGTTATGACTTTTTCAAGCATTGAACAAGAATAGGTGTTGAATTACACATGCAAATTATCAGGAGTTATCAGTCATTACCAAGAGCCAACCCTTTAGGTCCATCAGCTCTCTCTTATAATCTTACCAACATATCCTGAAGTAGATACAATTATTATTCCCATTCTACTTATGAGGAAATTGAGCCCAGAAAGGTTAATGACTTTCACAATCAGACACAGATAATAAATCTCAGAGCCAGGATTCCAACCCCATCTGCATAACCCAAATCTCGTACCCTGTCTGCTATTATCACCCATCGTGTCCAAGTGAAAGCAAATGGCACATCCCGATATGAATGTGTCTAGTCAGGAGCAAGTGCACTTAGATAACCAAGAATATGGATATTTTTTAATGGCTTATCATATGGAGAGAGGAAAAAGAACTAGCTGGAGATGATATCTCTTTAAACTCCTCAAAAACATTTGCCAAGTAGGGGGTTTTCAGTGGTTTGCTTCTTATTGCAAAAGAAAACCCCAAGAAATATAAAATAGATAACTTGTAATTTTAAAAGCATTTACCAGGCACCTATTTCATGCAAAGCAGGACAGAATCAGGTGCTGCTCCTTTAGTGCAGTCTTCCTGCTTAATTTCTTTGTCAGTGTCCCACGCTGGAAGCAAACTCCTGCCAGTTCTGTATTACTCAAAACTATAGGCCAAGCACCTGGTACAATGTTGTTTATAGAGAAGGAGGAATGATAGACCCTGAGGTTTGGGGAACAGAGATGAGTGAGGCATCCCCACTCTAAGGAGTTTACAGTGCAAGAAAGAAGACCAGCATGCACATAATTAATACAGTAGATGAGAGGAATGGGAGCAAGATGTCAAGAGGCAGCGGTAAAGAATTGAGGAGGTCTTAGGTCCTAAGGGAGAATTATGGTGTTATACTAGGTATTATGATGTCCTGGAAACAAATTGGCCTCATAGAGATCCAGGGTTGAATGCTAGCTCCGTGTCCAATAAGCTCTGTTACCTAGAAGCTCTTCACTTTGGTGAAGTTAGTTAATCTCTCTGAACCTGTGTCCTCATCTCTAAATATTAGAGATTTGTTAGGAAAAAAGAAATTTTTTTTGAAAGATGGCCCCTGGGCTAACAATTGTTGCCAATCTTCCTCTCCTTTTTTCTTTTTTTTTTTTAAGGATTGGCACCTGGCCTAACAACTGTTGCCAATCTTTTTTATTTATTTTTTTCTGCTTTATCTCCCCAAACTCCCCCTGTACACAGTTGTATATCCTAGTTGCCGGTCCTTCTAGTTGTGGGATGTGGGACGCTGCCTCAACGTGGCCTGACGAGCGGTGCCATGTCCGTGCCCAGGATCCGAACCCTGGGCCGCCGCAGCGGAGCGCGGGAACTTAACCACTTGCCCACGGAGCTGGCCCCAGGAAAAATAATTTTTAAAGTAGATAGCACAGATACTAGCCCATTGCTCATGCTCAGTAAACATGAACTCCCCTTTAGATGATATAAAGATTGGAGCACTTTAAAATCTCATTTGAATATTCTCCTGAGTGTTAGGAATTTGACTGAAAAATATTTGAAAGGAGAGGGCATAGATATGAATAAAACATTTGGGGAAGGGTGAAAGGATTAACGTTAAATGCAAATGGTAGTATTAGATTTTGTTTTAACTTATTGAAAAATGTGATTTTCAATACTATTATAAAACAAAGTCTTATATTTCACAGTTTACTTACCTTCTTTCTTGTTTGTTTCTAGAGCATTTCTGACTATAAATTCGTTTATCTCTGAGAAGGTGGAGACATATCCCCTATCCTCTCTCTGTCTCTGTCTCTCTCTCACACACACATAACACACATACACATACTCATTCATGCACACACACACACACACACGCACCATTTGTATTTGTAAACCCGGATCTTATTGTTTTTGCTCTGATGAAATTACTTGTACTTAAGTTTTGATTTTCAAAAAGGAGCAAAGAGAAGGGCAGTGTGGAGCATGGTTCAGAAGGAGCTCAGGAGCACTTCTGAACACAGGATTTGTAATTAACATGACTGTCAAAGTGGAGAAGTTGAGAACAGGATGTATTCCAATTAAGAGAAATGCAAAATACAATACCATACAATACTCCCCCGTCCATAGTGGGTAATATAAACACCGTAGAATATAATATAGAGCAAACACTTCAAAAACATGGCAGAAAACATTTTAGGGATCTAATGAGCCATACAGTAAGGAGCACATAGTTTATTATTAAAGCAAGTATCGTATTGTGATATATAAAATGTGGCAGCTGGAAGAGCGTTACAAAGCGCTGTTGGTCTGTAGGTTAAGTATCAGAGATCTGTTTCCAATGTATGACATTGCTGAGATAGGGAGAGCACAGAGATCATGGAGAGAACAATTAAAAACACAGCAGATTTGGGAATGGCAGTGTTTAGACAGGAACAAAGCTTTGAAATTAGACAGAACCATTAGCCTTGAACCAAGAAGTCCTAGAGAAGCATGTTGTCTTTCTTCATTAAAAAACCTTAACCTGGAAAACGGGCAATTTCAGTTCCTGCAGGCATTTTATAACTGAATTCATTTCATGATTTTGCTCACTTCTTCATTCATTATTCATTCATTCATTCGGAAAATGTTTCTTGAACACTTATTATTAAATGCCTTCTGCGTCCCAGACACTATGTTAGGAACAGGGAATTACAAGGAGAGTGAGACGTGGCTTCTGCCCTCAGAGAGCTCAGTCTAATGGGGGAGATGGGCAGCTGCACAAGTAACTATTTGGTGTGATAAGTAAAATAAAGTGGCAAAGTGGTCAAATAGGGTCAGGACTGGCTCTGAATGAGATGTTTCAGGGGGAACAGTTGGAGGTGGGATTTCAGGTTTTTATGTGGTAGGGAAGTCATCAAAGTTGTAAAGGAGGGAGCCCTGGGAACAGATGGGAGATTTAGTGGTTCTCAGGTGGGCAATGTGTGGTATCTAGCAAGTGACAATGTGGAGCATGGATCAGAAGAAGCTAAGAGTTCCTGCACTGTGTCCCAGGTCATATTACTTTCTTCTCTGAAAAATGCTAATGGGGCCTATATGATGTCTGTGCAAAGCTTTGACCCATACTTGCACTACAGTGCTCTACCAAACTGCCATAAACATGCTATTTTATCACATGTGCAGGTGCCTGTATCCACTACCACTGTCTAGACAGAGACCATCCCCATCACAAGGATACCTTGTTTTGCCTGTTTATAACCACACCCACCTCTTCCCCCATGGACTTTTCACATATTGGGGATTTGATGCAGTATGTTTTCTAGTTACGTTTGGAGAAGTAACTGATTTGTTCTTTTTCTCTCATGAATGTCTGCAAATAAATAATACTAAGTAAGTGGAACCTCAGTGTCCCACCATTCTTGGTTGCGCATGTCCCTGTTGTTTGGCAAAGGAACCAACAACAGGGACAAAGGGCTGCTTTGGGTGTACATTTCTAACTCTGAAGGCATGGGACCAAATTTGCCACCTTTGTTTCCATTCCCAGATTACGCTCGATTTGAGGCCAAAATCCATGACCTACGAGAGCAGATGATGAATCACAGCATGAGCTCCGGGTCCGGGTCCCTGCGAACCAATCAGAAACGTTCCCTCTATGTCAGGTAGGCAATGGAGCGTTTCCTACTGTGATCTGCACTTTGTGAGCAATCCACCCATGCTCTTCAATACACCACTGTAAACCCTTAAGTTTAACCATTTTGAAGAAATTTGTGAAACGTTATGCTAAATTAGTTAAAGGTCCCTACTTTTAACAAGTGCTTTGACCATGTTATGGTCCAGAGTAAAGTTCGTAGCACAGGTTGCAGTAAAAATAATGAGAAGAAATATCTTCTGTTCTGATAAATCTTAAATTGAATATGTGGGCCAAAGCCCTGGACATTTGCTCACCATCAGCGTGGAAAGAAAATATTCTTATATCACCTCCTGACTTGCTTGATATTTATTGCATTAACTTTGGTGTATTGATTTGAAATCAGAAGTACTCTTTTAAAGAGTTACGTGTTTTTTGCTAACAATTTTTTTTTTCCTGCTTTATCTCCCCATACCTGCCCTGTACACAGTGGTATATCTTAGTTGCAGGTCCTTCTAGTCGTTGCTAACAAGTTTTGACAGAAGGACTTTCTTTGTGGCATCTCATTACCAATAGTTTCTCAGACCACAAACATTACTTATTCCTTGCCTGACAAAACTCATTAATTTACCAGAAAAAAAATGATTGATTGAACTTGAAATGCCTTCCAGTCCTTCATCCCCATAGTCAACTCCTGAGTAAGATCCATCATCACTGAACTATAACATGCACCTCTTCTTGGCATAGGCCTCCTATATTCCTTCCAAAATATACTTCATCAGTGCTGACTGTGCTTTAAAAATAATATGAATACCAATGGCCACAGGGGGAAAGTGATGCCCAATTAATGATCAAAATGAATCCAATGGAGAGTGAACCATGCCCATCCTCACTGTGTTCTCCTCTGACCACTGTGCCCCAGAATCTGGTCTGACTCCCACCTGAGGTCATGTCCTCCTCACCTGAAATTTCACTGTTTTTTCCTGGCATGAGGTGCATGTTATAGATACTAAACTCTGTCCTTGAATTGACTTGTCCTGTTGATTCCACTTTGGCTATAAAGTTATCTTTTGTGTGTATTAGGTAGGCACAGCAGGGCCAAGAAGGGAGCAGGATTCCAGAAGGCGGCAGGTTCTCGAGGGCCTTGATTTGCTGGCCACTCTGACAAGCATAGAGTCCCTTCTTATTCCAGGGAGTTCCACTACCTCAGAAGCCCTGAGATTTTAAATTAAAAGAAAATCAGAATATTAATGTTCCGCATTTTTTCAACTGCATTTTGGAAGATTATTTTGATACACTTCAGTGTAATGTGTGAAAGGAACTATTGAGAATCACCCTAGAACATGTCTTGCAGTGATGTCACAAATATGAGGGAAGTGGCTATTTCTGTTCTCCTTTCTTGTGTTTTCATTGCTGGTCTTTGTGATACAAAATATATTTTAATCTTGAAATGTTTTAGTCTTGGGTGGCAAATTGGGAAAATCAAATTAGGTTAATAGGATAGAGATAAATCAGTTAATGAAAATGAAATGGTTATATAGAATAAAACTGGGAGGAAAAATTACCATATTTTTGATATCTTGTTAAAAATAGAATGCATAAAAACGTTAATGTACTAGAAGAAGTTTGCTGAAAATATATTGGTAATAGCTTAGTCCTTTAACTAGTTGTAGAAGATTAGCAAAATTAAATGAAGTGATATGATATTACATAAAACTAATAGATTTATTTAAAAGAGTAGTGTTCATCAGACTCAAATCTTTATTCTCTAAAACGATAAATAAAAGTACGACATACAAAAGAGACGAAGACAAGTCAATAGAGAATATTAGTTTGTTATTCTAACAGTTGGAGGTTGTATTGAAAGGAGGAACTCCTTTCAAACGAGGCTCAAAAGTAGCTGATGCTTCATGGGAAATTCTCCAGGTGATTTCTCATTTACAAAATGAGATCTACAAAGACAGTATTTGGTTTCCAATGTTCAATTATTAATACTTATTTCAGACCTAGAGGGCTGACCTCAGCGTCTAAATGACTGTTAGAAGCACAGAACTAGAAGAGATGTAGGCCGTGCATGGAGTAAAATCAGAGAGAACTTACAAGAGCCTCTGGCCTTGTCCTCATGCAATGTGACAAAACAGACACCCCCACCCCTGCAAACAAAAAAAAAAACAATAAAATGCAATGAACAAGAAAGACCTAAGGGGAATCCTTACTAAAAATGATTCAGTAAGTTTGTACCTTTGTTGTTTTGGGGTTTTTTTACGCAAATTTTGGCTATAGGATTTTCATAGAGATGCCTACTTTATCTGGAGCACTTGGATAGGGCTAGCGCCAGTTGGTTGGGCTTATTTTAGAAAGTCAACCAGTTGCTCTCTCAGAATAAATGAGTAGCAGGGTTTCTCCAAGTATATAAATATCAGATGATAAGCATGTCGCTTCAATCTGAGAATGACATCCTGGAGTTTTCTTCATTCTGCTTAGCTTTACGCAATTCTACGGCTGGAAGGAACCTTAGCTAGCACTAGGTCCACTGTTTAATTTACAGAAGAGGAAACTGAGGCCCCAGGAAGGCAAAGATTTGCCTAGGACCCCACAGCTGTTTGGTACCAGAGTCAGCTCTCCTACCTCCCTTCTCCCCGCACCACGCCACCTCCCAAGGGCTCAGTTTACGTGGTATCAGCTGTTAACGCGAGTTAGCTATGATTCCCAATCTGCTTCACCAGCACAGCCTGGACTCTTAGATTAAGGAATAGGTTAGCAGAGAGGAGAAATTCAAACATAAACCTCTGTGGGGTTTTTACACAGGATAAACCGTGCTATAGGACATATGGGATTTCTTTAGTAGTATTCGCATTTTTCCATGAAGCCAAAACGTAAATGAGAAAGCAAGCAATCTCTTTGTTCTGTGATAAACAATTTAGCTGACTTAGAATATTTGTCTGTACCACAAAACCACCCTTCCCCTTATTAGATTTACCTCCTCTTCCCTCTACACACACAGACACACACACAGTCACACACCCTACCCTAGCCCTGCCCTGGCCGTGTCCGAGAGGCTGCATGTTCTCAGCAGCATGCAGAAGCTGGCCTCATTGCCCTACTAGAAATGATCCTCCCAGGTGATAGCAATTTGTTTGCCTGAAAGTGTTGAAAGCAGGGGAAGGGAACTAGCATATTGGAGCCAGGCAGTGTTTTAAACTTGAGCCAACCCTCTCTATTTCCCAATCTAGTTGTAATTATTTTCCCTCTTTTAATCTTTTGTGTAAGGTGCTTAAAGTGCTTTGGTGGTGCTGTACAAATGGAGTTGATTGTTGCTAATGATAATTCTGTACATGTTCTTTGTGAATGGTTTGGATATATTTGATTTCATGGGCTGTTTGTGTTGTGTATTTCCTGCATTGTGAAACATATATAGTTGTAGAACCTTAAAAGTAAATAAACTGTTAAAAATTTGAATAAAATATTTTTTAAAATGCTCCACAAGTACATTATGAATTCTTCAGATGTAGATGGACGTGAGCTCCTGAACCACTGGAATATGGATTTTGTTGTGTGTGCTTTGAGGCCCTCCACATGTGCAGACTGAGGTCTCCCTGCCTCTAAAATATGCACTCTCCTTCTTATCTATCAGCTGGTTACAGCATCCCTGTAACAGAACAAGGCTTTCCCTACTAGTAATAGGAATGCACCTTTATATCCAACTGCTGCTGAGAAAGGTCAGAGAGAGAGGGGATTAAAATTAGACAAAAGTGCAAATAGCTAAGGAAAGATCCTTCCTTTTGATGAAAGAAAGCAGGAGCACCCAGGACACTGGGAGAATGGGAAGACAAGAAAGAGAAGCAGATAAGTCTTCCAATGGGATGTGAAAGAATGTGAAAGAGAAACTTGGCCCGTGTTTATTTGTTAACAAAAGATATTATTTTTGAGAGTTCAAGTGAATAACCTCTCTGTTGTGAATCTGGGTTTAAAAGTCAGTTTCTATGATTTATTTATGCATTCCTCAAGCATCTTTTGCGTATATATTCTGTGCTGGGACCTGTAATGGACACTGAGGACACAGCAGTAAAAGTCGTGTTTTCTGTCTGCAAGAAACTCACATCTAGTGGGGGAGACGGATGAGGGGAAAACAATTACAATGCAGTGTGATGTGAAAAGTTAGCTCTAGAAAGGCCTGGAACATTTATTGCTTCCTAATGCAAGGATATCTGAATTGATTCTTGAGGATTTTATACGAGTTAACCCAAAGGCCTTCATGTCTTTTTACTCAAAGCAAGAAATATATTCTTCGTTATGACCCAGTAGATACATACACACATAAACTTGAAAGAAAATTTTCATTAAATTGTACTAATACTTTTTATATACAGTATACTTTATCTTCCATTCTGTTTCCTTTTTTAAAAAAATGAAGGTCACAACTCGTTAACTTGATTTAATAACTCAGTAATGGGTTATAATCTACAGCTCGCAGATGGAGTAAACAAGGATATTCCAGGCAGATAACAGCACATAGACAGGCAAGAGGGCGTATCTTCATCAAACTACCTTTAGCATCTTTGGGGTCCCCAGACCCTTGATGTTCCAGCCAGTTTGGAGGGCGGTTATCCCTGGTACAGATGAGGAAGTGGAAATGAAGGGAAGCATTTGCTGGCACCTTCTATGGGTCACCCATTGTGCTAATAGTATTCTACGTACTTTTCCGCATATGATTCTCCCAACAACCCAAACAGTCACGGGATATTTCCTCCATTCTACAGAGGGAGAAACTGAGATTCAGGGAAGTTAAATAGTTGACCCAAGATCACAGAGCTAAACTGTACCTGAGTTTGCATCCTGTGTGTAGAGAGCCAGTAGAGAGCAGTATTTAAGAGTACAGTTGCTAGATTCTGCCAGAAAGACAAACATTGAATCTTGGTTCTGCCTCTTACTAGCTCAGTGATCTTGGACAAGTCAGTCTCTCTGGACTTAGCTTCTTTATCTCTGAAATGGGAATAGTAATAGGATACCATAAAGTGCTTACAATGATTA